CTTGTCTGAAGGAGGGACTTTGTAGAAAACGAAGTGTTTGAGAGAGGCGGGGCATAGAGGGCCTACAATAATGTACAGTATTTGAAAAATAATGTTTTTTGAACATTAAAGCATGTCAACATATTCTGTTACACCAAATACACAAAATAATGATCTTTAAAAAAGCATCATATGACCCCTTTAAATCATTTCGGAAATATCTTTTTTCCTAAATCCATTTGAGACAGAGCAATGTTTTTTTCCCCTGATTAACAGCTTAGTTCTGTTCTACAGAAGCATTTATCTGACAGCCTGTCATGTCAGTGACAGGTAGCTTTAAAATAATAATAAGCTGGTCCAAACTGGTCATTAGCTGGCCAGTAACTGGTAGACCATCATGGACAAGCAACAAATCTGTGTATTATCAAGTCATATAATCTTAAATTCAGCAAGAAAGTAAAATTCACCCTATATATTTTCTAAATGCATATTAATGATCTTATTGTGAACAATTCATTAATGCATGTTACATTTTTTATTTTATTGAAATGATTTTAATCAGAATATCATGACTCAGTCTTCTGGTGAAACAACAGACTTCTCAGTGGTGACATATGCTGGATTTTTCTGATCATTTAGTTCGCCTAAACCCTGCCATTTTACAGTCGACTGCAAGGTAGCATTCAGTTCTTACTTCATCAACAGAACCAAGTCCTCCTGCTGCATTTTTATTTTTTCAATATAATCCATTTACATCACAATACAGAAGAAAAGATCTCTCACTACTTCCATTTCTTTGCGATTTTAAAGTGGTCAAACTGGACATGGTTGCTGGTCAGTAAATTAACACCTAGCTTAAACCAGATAGGAACCATTGTACGTCAGTTTGCTTAGCCTCAGAATCCATGAAAAAACTAAAAGTAATGTTAAAAAGACAGCCTCAACTATAAATAAGGGTTATGGGTTTACTATCAAACATAAAAATTACAAGTGTGTTGTATGCAACATAAAAATTGGGTCCTAAAGAAAAAAGATCATGTAGTGTAATAGAAAAGGCTCTATAGTTGATGAGAGAAAGCCTCATTCACTTCATCTACAACCTTTCATTACTGCTGATGTTATATAACTACAGCTGCTTTACATACACAGACTCTTACTTACACTATACATCCCTCTGTACCTGGGGCTCCTAATAATTATGCTGAACATTTTCTCTTATGTAACCTTGCATTGAAGAGTAATGAAGCCTAATGCACATCTGTTCGACACACAAAAACAAGGACACAACAAACAAAGACACAGACACAAAATGGGATTTTATTGAATCATCACAAGCGGTATGTTTAGCACTTGCCGAGTCAGTGAATGTTTGCCTGTGAGTTACGTGTGTGTGTGTGTGTGTGTTGTGTCTGCGTTTGTGTGTGCTTCATGGAGTGTTTTATCTGAGAAAATGATCAAGTATTCACACGTTTATTTCAAGTCCAATCTTATATTAAATTACCATTATATATATATTCCATATAAAATTATATTTTCGGGGCAAAATCTGGGAGAATGGGTTTGAGAAAGGTAGAATGAAGAAAAGCAAAGACAGAATGAAACCTTCTCTGGATTTAATGTACACACCACCTCCCCACAGGGAAGACTTTATTGTCCAAGTTGTATGTGAAGGCCTTCTCAGACCATATGGGAATATTTTTACTCAACACACACAGGGTTTTGTTAGAGGGAATGGCTGTTTGAATATCGACACCTTGAATTGTGTCGATTGGTGACCATAATTCAGAGCAAGCTTGGTCAGGTAAACCATGGTCATCATCACAATCAGTGCTCCATCCCCATGGACAATAGTGATGAAGGCAGAGTAGCAGAAAGAATTGGAGTGGAGGACAGGAGAGAAACTTAAGCATTAGGGTCAGAGGTCACATGAGGTGTTTTTTACAAGAAAAGAAAGGAATGGCAGTGTGAGAATTAGATGTTGGTGCCTTCTCAAACAATCTTGTTCTCCAGGGCAGTGATCCTTTTCGTCACAGCTTCCAGTGATGCTGCTGTCAAGGAAATAATGCAATAGTAGCATCCTAACCATTTATGATGCCTTATACATTTTTATGCTTTAAACATTGTTGTCTATACCTACACATTTTTCTTTTAGAGATGCATTACTGCTAAAATGCTGGTCATTATAAGCCAATAATTATTTTCATTTTAATGGCTGATAACCATTTATTACTTGCAAGTAGGTGAAAATGAGCATGCATAATTAAATTTCCAATATTGACAGATATATATCTATTAAACCCAGTAAAAATCAGCTGTTAACCAGTATGGTACCATTATATTGTGCACGCCCTAATTTCTTTACATTTGATTTTAATTTTAATACTAATACTGAGTCCAAAGGTGTTTCATCTCAAACCCTCTTAAAAAGACACATCTCACCTCTCAGCATTCCGTAAGTCAATACTGAATATTGAGCACAATAGGAATTTGTGTAGTAAAATTTTAACCTGAACCTAAACGTTCTAGTTAAGAAAGGATATATTTCTTTGTTAATGCCTGTAGTGCCTCCTCCACTTTTTTCTGGAACTTGACAACGGAATTGCATTCACAGGGATCTTCCACTGCAGGAGAGCAAAAACAAATTTAGTTGATGAAATGCTAGTTTAAAGGTCATATTCATCTTGATTTTATTTACCTTGACAAACATTGATTTGCAGCTTCTTGGCAATTTGGTTAATGGTTTTGAAGTCTGCCGTGTAGAAGTAATGGTCAGCGACAGGTTCAGAGGCGATTTGTTTCAGCTCGTCCTCAATAGCGTTGCCAACACCCACAGCATACATCTTAAAGCCTAAAGCACAGACACAGTGCACTGTAAAACACTCAGAACTCATACACATTGCTTTTTGCATTGCATTTCTGTGTGTTTTTTCCTAACCGTTATCCTTGGCCTTCCTGGCAGCATCTCCGATGTAGTCTTGTGACCTGCCATCAGTGAAGACAATACCGACCTTTGCCACGCCGGGTCTGGCGCCCTGGTTAGGAGTAAAGCTGTTTTCCACCAGGAAACTGATGGCCAGGCCAGTCATGGTTCCCCTCTCCATATAGTCCATTTTTTTCACTGCTTCTTTCAGGGCCTTTTTGTTGTTGTAGCGTCCCAGAGGGAACTCCTGCTTCACAGTGCTGGAATACTGCACCAGTCCCATATGGGTGTTTGTCTCTGACACTTCCAGTTTGTCGATGATCAGGTTGATCCATTTCTTGACCAGCTCGAAGTTCTCTGGTCTCACACTCTTGGAGCCGTCGATCAAGAAGACCACATCTGTGGCTGCGTTACTGCAAGCTGGGATAAGAGAGACAGAGGATGTTTGTGGTAACTCATGAGTTTACAAACTAGGGTCCAGGAACCCCCATGAGACCGCAAGAGGATTCTGGGGGTCAACCAAAAATTTAAGAGAGAAAGACAAAATTCACAAAATTAATTATTAGGGCTGTCAAAGTTAACATGTAAGTTTAAGGTATTAATTATATATATTATAAAAATTTTTTTAAATACATTTGCCAAACTTAATTATTTCTAAATATAAAATGCCTAAAAATCCAATTGATTATTCTATTGATGGCCCTAGTTTTCAAGAGTAAGAAATAAAAACTGAATCTGCATATATTTGTGTAAGAATATAAACAAAAAAATATAAACATAGGTTTATACATCTAACATTATATTAAAAAAATATTTCACTTTATATCAAAGTAAATATTTTCCAGATAATATTTCCAAAAATGTAATTTTTGCTTCAGTATGGTGGAAATATGAAAGTCAATTATTTAATATAGATTTTTTTTAAAAATATATTACATTATTCTTTTCTTACAATTGATAAATGGGTCTGTATGAAAATATAAAGCAGACTTAAAATTTTAGAAAGGGTGTCATTTTGGGGTTAAGCTTAAAACCCTTGTGGGACCCTTGATGTTAAATTATCAGCAAGTCGTTTAGTCACATGATAGTAGTTTGCTAGTAGTATTTTGCTTAGAGTGAATGTGTTTGGTTAGTAGGCTGTGAAAGATAAAATGTCTCTTGGCCATTAAGAATCTGATTCATCTTTAAAGCAGGGGTTTTAAATAAAGTACATCAAAAACTGCACATGGCTATGAAGTATTTTACTTATGTCTTTGACACTTACCCAACATTCATACATACTCACCGCTGCATGATCGGCCGTCGCCCTGGAGTGTGAATCCCTCTCTGCAGGCACACTTGAAAGATCCGGGTGTGCTGATGCAAGTGTGCTCACAGTCATGATCGCCTGTCGCGCATAGGTCCGACACAACCGCTACCATGAATGTAACATACACACACACACACCGGGTAGGGGAAGGAAGGGTTAGCGAGGAGAGAATTACTCTATGTGAAGTGGGAACTCAAGAAAATCAATGGGTTTTAACAATCCGCTGCACTCAAATGAACAGCAAATCTTTAAAACACAGAAATATGTCAGAGACCCAGACACCTGAGACTTGCAGAAAAAGAAAAGTTTTGGTATTAGTCT